ACGCGGCTTTGTTGTTATCCGGTAAGGTTTTGAACTTAATACAATTTTATACAGGATTTTTCATGTGTTTTGTACCCAATCGATGTTTGTATTTTATCGATTGGAAGACTTATTTTAGTGAGAGAGAAGTTGTTCCTAATCGATGTTTTAGTGTTATATATTGATTGGATGATAAATTTTATAGTGAGAGAGAGAAGTTTTCCATCTTAATCGATGTTTAATTATACCGATTGGATGATGATTTTTGTAGTGAGAGAGATGTTTATTTCCAATGGATGTTTGTGTTACTATACCAATTGAAAAGACATCAGTATTTTCTTGACAGTAGTTTTGTACGGGTCTCATGAGTATGCAACTCAAGGACTTAGGATTTGTATTCCGATCTGGCTGTATCCTGGGAGTGTACTTGCCGGGACCCGTTTTCACCTCGGATTTTACCGAGACAGGGGCGTTTAACACTTCGAAGAAAGCAAGCTTCTCTCGTGCCTCCAGATCCCCTGATTTTGGGTACCATTGTTTAGAGTTCATATCCACCATACTGTTTTGTAAACTGCGGTGAGACCCCAATCAACTAATAATATATTGGAGAGTTTTAAAGATTACTTTTTGTATTAGGTCCCCACTTGTCTCCCGATGAGGAGGGACAAGACGACCAGGATGGACGCCACTTCATGCCTGTATTAACAGACATGGAGCGGATGTCCTTCACATATCTGCTGAAAAGCATCCGTGCTTGCTCGGTCACCTTAGGATTAAGGGACACGGGGTTTCCTTTGAGTTTCATTCTACATTTGCTTTAGTATCATTTAAGTTGCTTTTATTTAGTAGGATTATGATATGAATAGGAATGAGCTTAGAGCTAGGTGGCAGGGCGCCGCAACAGGACATCTTGAGTTCCATTCAAATCATAGGTAGGGGGATCCCTTCCCTGATGAACTACCAATAAAATAAAAAGAACATGAATGGGCTAAAGGTTAGGCAGTCAGCGTGGCGGGCCACCACAACATGAGTCTTGAGTTCGCCTTCCCTACTGAACCACCAAAAAAAAGGAGTATGATAGGAATACTTGTTAAAGATACAAGAAAATTGATGGCTCGGATTTCATAGAAAATTTTAGGGTTTAAAGTTATTTAAATAGTGGTGCTAGGGAGTTGAGAGTAGACTTGGATTATTTACTTTGTTATTGATTTCTTCTTCTATGGAAGAAAAGACGCTTCTTTCATGTAAAATTCATTCTCTAGCAACTTTGTGTTTGTCGGTATGATTATTTGCATGTCTTAATATTTTCTTTTAAGAAAAAAATTATCAAGGCAAGCATCAATTGGAGTCAGAGTAGGGATTCCTAAGGCATTTGAGTTGCAATGCACAAATGTCATTGAGGAGAAGAGCTCTCCTAGCAGATCACGATGAATTTGCCTAATTGCAAAAAAACATCATTGAGTTCACAAAAGAACTAGATCAACCACATACGATGTGTTGGTAGTACAACAACTTACAAGGATACCAGAGATCAGATATGAAGAGTACTAAACTAAGGTTACAGAGTCAATGGAGTCAATCTACCGTATCAACTAGAAGCCTCGACCATGAAAGGCAAGAATATTTCGTGGAAAGGGACTCTGAGAATGCTGTAGGTTGGGCCACTAGGAGAAATCAATACCCATGGAGAATCCAATTTATTTGACCAGTATTTCATCCATGCAGGCATCTTCGACCCGCCTTCCGTCATACCTAGCGGGATGTAAATGCGATGGCAGATGCCTTGGCTTAAGAAGAAGCTGCTGAAGTTGGTGGCACAAACATTTCTTGAAAGCAGTGTCCATCTATGCCCAAAATAGTTATGATGGTAAAGGGAAATTTCATGGAAAATTGACGTAATAGTGCACCTATACGTCTTCATCGGCATTGTTTTTCGACTGGAAGACCTAGAGCTAACTATCGAGACTTTGGGCTATCCGAACATCTACTCCGCGAGATGGTTCATGTAGGGGCAACAAGATCGAGCTGGTAAGGAAAAAAAGGAATCCTTCAAAGTTCTATGAATCTCTATGATCATAGAAGGGTTGAGTCCCTTTACCATTCTGTATAAATGGGTTATACTATTTATATAGATATGAGAAGGGGCACATCCAATCCCGGTTCGTATGATAGCAGTACCCAGTTTTTTAACGCAGGGTAAAGCAGTATGGTAGCTCCCAAGGCTCATAACCTTGAGGTCATGGGTTCAAATCCTGTCTTCGCAACATATTTTGTTTTGTAAAAAATTTCTTTTGGGGAATGACTTTGACACTTAGTAATGAATTTGACACTTAGTAATTAATGAGCATTTTTTGTTTGGGGATGGAGGGAAGATATAAACATTATATCGTAATGGATATACTAACTATACCATATCATTTCTCGCATTCCATTATTTTTATATTTTTATTTCAACAAGGGCGGAAAGCGGGAATTGAACCCGCATCTTCTCCTTTCGTTATACCAAACGGGATGTAAATGTGACGGCAGATACCTTGGCTTAAGAAGGAGCTGCTGAAGCTGGTGGCACAAGCATTTCTTGAAAGCGGTGTCAATCCATGCCAAAATAGTTATGATGGTTTCTAACTTTATCTCTGCTTTCTACTTCCTCGCTTTTTTTTGTTTTGTTTCCTCTTCCCTAGCATCTCTCTCCTCCTTTCGCTTTCTCTCTCGCTCAATCCCTCTCTTTATCTCTTTCTTTCTGATATATGGATAGCCTTCACTACTTTTTGTCCTACTTTGTAGTTGTCAGATTTTTGCCTAGTACAGGATTGACAGGTTGGCCGCATTACTTTTTACCGTGTTATAATGTTCAGTTTTTTGGCTGGTACAGCATTGACAGTTGTGCTGCCCTCTACCATGATGCTCTCTTCTCTTGCGGTCACCCCCTCTCAATCCTTGTCTCCTTCCCCACCCCTAACCCCCAGGGGCAAGCCTCCAATCTCTTCTCTCCTCCCTTAAACTATTCTCCTTTCTCCTATGATATGTAAATCTTGAAAGTGTTGGAGCTCCCGTTTTGTGGGCAGCCATTGCTTTGTCTGTTTTCCTCGATTCAACTCTTTTTTTTTATTTTTGATGTTTGGGTTATCATTTACTTGTAGAGCATGCGGCTTGTGGGCTGCCCCCCTCACAACTCATGACAAAACATGTAAATACTCATGTAGATATTTTATTGTCAAAATTTCCTTAAAAAACAATTGGGGCCTTGGCATAACTTGGTTTCCATGACTACCATGGAGAAACTTTATTTTCACCAACTTTTCTCAAAATAACAAGTCAAGGTTGGGATTTGCCACCAATCTTGATGCATACCTAGATGATTACTTTCATCAACTTTTCCCCAAAATAGCAAGTCAACAACTTTTTCCCAAATAGCAAGTTCAAAAAAGTGGTTAGAGTTGATTCGATATATATATATATATATATATATATATATATATATATATATATATA